ATAGCATAGAGGAAAGGTAAAACATGGTCTGTATCCTCTAAATTTAATCCAAAACGATTCAGTATCATTTCATGTTTGTTAATAATGTCAGTATCGATATGTGTATCCAGTTTATACGTGAGGTTGTCAATAGTGTGTTGATTAGCAAGTAATCCTAACTCTTTACACAATATGTAAGCATAGTATCTCTTACATACAAAAGCATAATTGTTGGGTGCCTTATCTACAGCCGTAATTATATAATGTTGTTGAAGTTTATTAATACTATGCCTAACTGAATATTTATTAAAATTACCGAGAATGGGTATTGTGAAATCTTGCTTTTGTAGTTGCGTTTAAAACTAAGTTTTTGTCACTTCTATGTAACGGGAACTTAGCTTCCAAGCTCAGTCTAGATCACACGTGAATATAGAATGGCCTTGCAAATTTTCACCTTCGTAGACTGTTCGATGGGCGAAAATCGCTACTTCGTTCCAAATATCTTCAAAGTACTGTGGCGAAAGTGCAAGTCGAAACCCCATATGGTACACGATCTTTCAGATGGACAATAAATATTCTGGAAAAATTACAACTGTTGTTTTCCGGTTACTTTCCGAGTTGACACGATTCAATTGTGAGCTTCGACGTGACTGTACAGTTGACACAAGTGTGCGCGATGAATTTGAAATCTTTAGCTTACACATAGACAGGGAATAACAGTGTGAAATTTTAACTTTTTCGCCTGTCTGGTCCTCGAAATCATTGTCTCGCTAAAAATTCGCATGTTTTTTCGCTGTCTGTATGTGAAATTCAGGCGTACGTGAGCGATGGTTTCAGGTTGTGGAGGTGACACATATGATGAGAACACCATCGCAAAATTTAAGCTTTTTGACTCCAGTTTTGGAGTTGGAAGTGGGCGACAAAGTTCACTTGTCCACACAAACGAACATACACACACATGCGCACGCACGCACGCTCACACACACATCACACAGATATATACACATCGATATCTTGAAAACATACGTTTCTTTGTTTTTTCGATATATGTAAATGCGAAAACACATACTGACAAGAGGCTGTATATGTGTGTGTGTGTATGTGTGGGTGTGTGTGTGTGTGGGTGGGTGTGTGTGTGCATGCGTGCCTGTGTGCTCACACTTTTTATTACCCACTTTTAACTCGAGAACTAGAAAAGCTAAAGGCTGAAGCTTCGGGAATATGTGGCGTGCCACGTGCGAATCTCCGCTTTGATATTATCATCCGTGTTTGTCCGGATCCTGCGCACAGATGCCTCAGAAAATTATGCAAATTTTCTGGCAAGGAAGGGATATTCTGCATTCACGTGTGGTCTTAATTCAGCTTGGAGGCTAAACTTCCTGTAGGTGAGCATGAAAGTACTCAATTTTATCACAAAGTCAACACAGGTGGAATCGTGCCAGGATTGCCGGTGCGAAAATGCGCTTTTGAACTAAACTCGCGGGTCGCTAATAGCAGGAATAATTCTGCTCTGCAGGTAAGCACTTGGACTCATACTGGCCATGCTTTGGTTTCTTCCGGCATGCAGCAGTGTGGGCATCGGTTGGGGTGAGAGTATTGCGTTATAGAGCCGCATGGTCCTGCCGGTACATGATTAGTAGTTTTTATGCGTTTTTGCCTATATGCAAATTGCAAAGACGCATATTGAGACGACCCCGTCTGTGTGTGTATGTGTGTTATGTTTGTGTGTGTGTGTGTGTGTGTGTGTTCGTCTGTCCGAGTATTTCAACTCGGCAACCAAGCAAGTTTCAGCAGCGAGATTTTGCTAATGGGTACCCCGGCCAAGTACCACCCCAGAACCGCGTACCCCCTCACGCACGTCTGGGTCCCGCGTACGAGAGGGGGAAAGTTTTGGCGGGAAAATTGATAACTCG